AGACCCCAGGGCGTCCATTGATTTGTGGCGTGGGAACGTCAAGCTTTCCATCGCAAAACCATCGAAGCCCAAGAAACCCAGGGCACCCTGGAGGCAAGCAGGGTGTTTCTTGGCGTGGGTCTCCACTGTACGTGGGTGGGGCGAAAGAAACACGGCGCTCGCCTAGGGGGTCCACGTCCTCGTCGCTTGGAATGCGCTGGGCGACCCTTCTTCACGCTCTGCCACCTCAGGTGCCTGCGCCTCTCAACCCACGAAGCGAGCGCCGCGGCCTCAATCGAGGACGTCCTCGGGGGCAACGCAGCCAGAAGAATAATGCGGGATCGGATGCCACGCTACTGGCACTCGGAACTCGAACACAACGGAATGATGCCAAACGAGAAACACACATGCACATGCAATACGGGGCCAATCGGGACTCACAACCGAAACACATTCAAAATTAATATCGGGCCCCCTCTCAAATACCAGCCCCGTCAGCGTGTGGAGTCGCGTGCATCCAGTGCGACACGTGAATATGACCACAAGCGCGGCTACCATAACGACACAAAGGCTGTATTGATCACCCACGCCCGTACTTCCCTGAGCCACGCACACACTGACGGACGGACGAGTGGTTGCGCGGGCATGCGCCTCCCCAACCACGCACCAACACACATGCGCACACACCACACACACAACACACACAACACACAACACACAAACAACACACACAACACACACAACACACAACATACACACAACACACACCACACACACAACACGCACAACACACACAACACACACACACACACACCACACACACCACACACACCACACACACCACACACACCACACACAACACACACACACACACCACACACACCACACACACCACACACACCACACACCACACACACCACACACACCACACACACCACACACACCACACACACACCACACACAATACAAACCACACACAACACACACAACACACAACACACACAACACACACAACACACAACACACACAACACACAACACACACAACACACACAACACACAGCACACACAACACACACACAACACACACCACACACAACACACAACACACACAACACACACAACACACACAGCACACACAACACACACAACACACAACACACACAACACACAACACACACACACCACACACACCACACACACAACACACAACACACACACACACACAACACACAACACACACAACAACAACACACACACACACACAACCCACACAACCCACACAACCCACACAACCCACACAACACACACACACACAACACAACACACCCACACAACCCACACAACACACACAACACACAACACACACAACACACACACACACACACACACACACACACACCACACACCACACACCACACACACACACACACAACCACACACACACACAACACACAACACACACACACACACACACACACACACACACAACACACAAACACACACAACACACACAACACACACACACACACACACACACACACACACACACACAACACACACAACACACCACACACAACACACACACACACACACACACACAACACACACACACACACAACACACACACAGCACACACAACACACACAACACACACAACACACACAACACACGCACACCACACACACCACACACACCACACACACCACACACACCACACACACAACACACACAACACACACCACACACACCACACACACCACACACAACACACACAACACACACAACACACACAACACACACAGCACACACAATACACACAATACACACAACACACAACACACACAACACACACACACCACACACACACCACACACACACCACACACACCACACACAACACACACAACACACACACCACACACACCACACACACACACGCACACGCACACGCACACGCACACGCACACGCACACGCACACGCACACGCACACGCACACGCACACGCACACACACAAACACACACACACATACACACACATCCACCACCGTGCCGCTGGCACGGAGTGGAATGCCCTGAAATCCTCCCGAGCCCGACAAAGGATGTGTGAAGGACCCAAGCTCTCAACTCACGAAATTCCTGGGCGCTTCTGGACGCTATCTGTACGTCCCGCGCGGATCTTCTCAAGGCCTGGGGATCCATATTGTGAAACCAAACTTCCAGCATGCCCTGATCTGGTCCCAAAAGCCTGTTCTGGGGCACACTGGGGGTCACTTGGGCTGCTGTCTTGGAGGTCCTCGGGGCCGTCCGGGATGCCAACAATATTAAAACGCAAGGTTGACGATTACTCTAGCGTTCGTAAGAGGCCTCCAAGGCGGCCCAAAAAGAAATCCACAAAGTGCGCCATGACCGGACCGCAGACCGCTGGACGTCTCCCCTCCAATCTACTCCACCAAACGCCTCGAAGAGGGCTCTGATCCACGACCCTGCCACGGTGGCGGGATGGGCCGCAGCCCACAGTCAGCCCCCCCTGTGGCTGCTTCCTACAAGGGTGCACGGCTTTCCGAGCGTTCGGTAAGCTTTCGGCCTCTTTCCAAATTCCCACAGACCTTCGGCCTAACCCGCTGGCCACCGGGAAACTTCGTTCTCAATTGATATCCTCAGTTAAGGTGGGCCCAAAATGGCCTCCAAGACGGCGAATCTGGCCTCCAAGACTGCCAAAATGGTCCCAAGAACGATGGCCGCAACACGTATCCAACACAGCCCCAAATGCACCCACGACGGCCTACAATGGCCTCAAAGTGGCTCAAGAGGCTCCCAAGAGGTCCTCCATGAAGCCACAATCATTGATTTCCAAAGATATTTGAAGGATTTGGGTAAGTACTCCTTTTCGGCCTTCCGACGGCCCAAGAGGCCCCCAAGATCGCAGGAGAGGCTTCCAAGATGGCAACACGACGGCCCAAGAGGCCCCAAGACGGCCCCAGGAGGGCCCCAAGACTGCCCAGAAAACCTCCAGGACGCCAAAGATGGCCTGCAATACGGCCCTGAAACGCACCAAGAGGGCTCCAAGTCGGCCCAGAGAGACCCCCGAGACGGCTTCCGACTGCGTCAGACGGGCCTGGAAAGCCCTCAGACTGCCAAAGAGCCTTCCAAGGAGCCTTCAAAGGCCCCCAAGAGGCCCAAGGAAGCCCCCACTAGGAATCCAAGATGCCCCCAGGACGCTCCCAGGCGGCCAGAAGAGTGCCCCAAGAGGCTCCCAATAGGCCTTTTCGTTTTCCTCCTCCTCCTCCTCCTCCTCCTCCTCCTCCCGACGTCAGACGGGCCAGGAACGCCCTCAAACGGCCAAAGAGCTTCCCCAGGGGCCTCCGAAGGCGCCCAAGAGGCCAAAGGACACCCCGAAGTGGACTCCAAGAGGCCACCAGGACGCTCCCAGGCGGTCCCAAGAGGCTCCCAAGAGGCTCCCAAGAGGCCTCCTCCTCCTGTTTCGTCCCTGTCCCCCTTCCTTCTTTCTCCCCCGCGTGACCCAGGACAGGTTTCCAGAACGGCTAAGGGAACACATCGTCCGATAGGCTGGCCGAGCAATGGCCGCAACGTTAGGCCACATCGGCGCTTCGAAACAAGTACACATGCACACATATATTTTTGACACACTCGCATACTATTCGCGTGCGTTCTTGACCCATGCCAGCCCCAGTGGATTTCCGATAACGAAATCTGTACCCTCATCAATGCTCAAACCAGGCTTTGACGGGCTTGTGCCAACTAGCCGTAGCCAACGTCCCCAAACCACCTGCTTGAGCGTCCAGACTCGCAGTGGAACTCAAACAAGCCTACGTTCGACTCGCGGATGTGTATCATGTTGTCTGGACTTCTGTGTTGCCAATGGGCGTGCCCCTTACCCCAAGTACATGTCTGCGCAACATGCGAACACCGAACAAATGCTCTTCCTCAGAATGCGCATGCTGACGAGGTCCCTCCGCAAGACTAACGTCCGCGAACACACACATTGAAAGGCAGCATTCCTAAGTTTTTTACTTAACTGCGGCATTTGGCAAGCTTCTTGATGGGCGAATGACTGATTGTCCGAGCTGCAACCTTAGACTGAAATGCTGACTTCAACATGATGGTTCAACGCGATACGGTGGATCGCTGTCAGAGATGCATTCGTATTGTGTCCAAAACCTTGTTTGATATCCAACACGTGAACACTTCTCAGTACATTAGGCTGGTTCAGGTCCGCCACCGCGCCCCTCGGCACCGTAGTGAAGTGATGCGACACCATTGATCTAGAACATCAGATATCGACTTCGCAGATCCATCATCTTCCGACCGCTGCCAAATCCAAATGTGAAATCGCAACGTGGGACATCAACAATCTGCGCGACAATATAAACCCATGCGCATGCTAATAATGCTTACGCACATTTTAATTTCAGATTCAATCAAATGCATCAGCGGTGGGAGTACCGGACTTCACAGCTGGCAATACGCACTCAATTCTGCACGTTGTATGTGTGCATTTGCTGCTGGCTGTACGTGCTAGAGAAGGCGCGCGTATACGTTTCAGTTTCGCGCATAAGTTACGACGCTTGCGTTTACCACCATGTTTTCAGAATGACGTATCACCACATTGGTGCCGAGTCTTTGCGACGGTTCGGAAACGCGATGGATAACAACAATACCATGGGACTGTGCGTTGCTGAGGCGAGCGCTGTCATAACAATACACTTGCACCGTGCTGCTGCTTCCCCAGCGGCGTAACACGTGTTTATTCAAATTTTCGCCCGACTGCGCTGCAGGACTTGTCCTGCAAGCGACACATTTCATCCTGGCGGAAAATAACGGCACCGAAATCTGTCAAGAGGGGGCAATCTATAATAGAACAGGGGAATTCATCAAAGCCCTGCCTGCAAATGTCTGGCTAGGTGCCAGTCAGGCGCACACCTTCCATGAGAACATGCAACAAGAACGTCAGACAATGCTGGAGTGGTACTGGTACGATTCGAAGCCCCATGTCCTAAGCTAGGCCTCGGTCTTGACAGCAAGCAAGCTTCGCATCTTCTTCTGGATCTGCTCCTCACGGTCTCGTCGGTCCTGCGCCATTCGTGCTCGCCCCTGCTCGGCTACGTAATCCCCCTGTGCTCAATTCTACCCGTCTCTGCTTCACACTCTCCGCGACGCTCTGCTCGACGGTTCCCTGGCTGAGCCCACGCGAGTCGACCGTGCCTCTTCTCTTTGCCCAATTCTGCTGTCGTCTCGCTGCTGGCTGTTTGACCCTTCACGGCGGCCTTTCTAGAAGGGAAAACGCCACAAACATGAACTTTTGGCGCTCCGCGCTGATTTCTTGGGTCTACACTGACCCCCCACCCCTGGCGCGCGGAGCGCGCCAGGGGCGGCGCCGGGAGGCGCCGCCAGGGGGGCCCAACGCGGATCCAAGAAACCCGCGCGGAGCGCCATAAGTTTATGTTTATGGCGCTTTTTCTTCTTCGACTTTCAACTCTGCGAGCTGGGGACTAACCTGCCTTCCGGCGAAGTTGTGGACACATTCTTGCCACCTCCATCTCAGTCGCCCGACTTGGCGCTCTTCGCGCCGCGCCAAGCGCGAACAGCTCGGGCGTCTTCGCACGCCCGCGTTGCCGCCTAGAGAGAGGGGCAGCGAACAGCGCGAACAACGAACAACGCGAGCATCCTCGCGACCCCGTGGAAGATCCGCTCGTGGGAAGCCCAAAAAGCTCTCTGTCGCTGCTCTCTCGCTGGCGCGCGACGCCCTCTTAGCCGCTAGAAGCGCACGGCCACCCCACAGCCAGCTCACGGTTGTCTCGAGATGCGCACGGGGAAAAGAGGGCGGGGAGGTTCCTGCAGTCCCTCCCCGCCCCCACCCTGTGCAGTCACCGCGCTATCTGAAGAACGCCCGATCGGGAACGAAGTGGCTTTTCTGGCCACGGCGAACCAAGGCCACGAACAATTCCCGCGACCCAGACCTGAATAGGACCTCGCGCGCGCTTCGCGCGAGCTCAGGTTCTAGCGCAGGCCAGGGCGTTGTCATGACAGTGGGCACATATCTCGATGCCTCGTGGAATGAACGCTTGCCTGTGCTGCGCTGTTTTGAGACCGGCCCCATCCAATGGAGGGCGGGTGGTTTTCAACATGTGGCTTTCTGTTGAGCTCAGCGCGCAGTCGTCATACAAGTTTGCAACAACTTCGATGATGAACAAAAAGGGACGTTTTCAAAATTTGACTCTCGCCGTAGCGCCGTGCACATCCGATTTGAAATGTTGCAATAGGGGCAGGCTTGCGGGCGGTTTCTTTTCAAAGTGGTGCCCTCGCCTTAGCTCCACACTCATTCGTCTTAATATTCAATAGTGCTAGAGAGCATGAAGCACCAATCGTCTGCCGCGCACATTCGGTTCAAGAAGTGTGCACCAGCGGGAAGGACGGAGGATTGTTATTTTCTGAGAGATGAGGTTGTATTCTGAAACTTCCATGAAGACGCTGAACTTCGACACATGGCGGCTCGAATCGAGAGCGGCCCCTTTTCGAAATGAAGCTCTCGTTTGAAGCCTCCTCGACATCATGGCCACGTATGTACAGTTGTGCAACAGTGGCCCAGATGGAGAGACATCATTCTCCGACAAGGGGATCTCGCTCCACACCTCCTCAAACTGCATGGCTCCAGTTCTTCGCACGCCCGACTATGCGCCCAAAGGGGTGCAACGCAACTCCTCTTCAAAACAGGGCCCTCGCCACAATGGCAGGCCCATGCGGCGCTGGTCCTCCGAGGGGGGCGCACCTTGTCGTAAAAAGGACGGCTGTATGCATGCGTGAGGAGGGGACTTGGGGGCGGGCGGGTGTATTGCAGCACCGCTGGTGGGTGCAAGGGCCAAAGCAGCCCGCTCCAAATCCCTGTGACTTCCACTCCGCCCGCGATCGGCGCTCGGCCCGCCTCGCGGTGAGTGCTTTTCTTCTTGTGGGCCCGCGCTGGCTCGCGCGCGCCCGCAAGCGAGCCTTTCGATGGGCAGCGCTCGCTGGCGCGGGTCGATGCCGTAACATGCTTATGGCTTAAAGCACCGCCCACAAAGACCTCAAACGACGCGCTGCCCAACCCTTACGGCCTCGGCTGCCGCCGCGGCCGCGGCGCCTCGCATGCATCTTAGGTTTACTCTGGTCCTCTGCCTCCCCCGCCCCCTGCCGATCACAATGAATCCTCGGACTCCTCCGCTGGTCCATCTTGATCACGCTTTCATCCAAGATGGATTTTTGACGGATCAGGAGCCCAACGCGGACCTCCAGAAAACGAAACTAACAAAATGAATAAAACATGTGTTCGAACCTCCTCCAACTCCTCTTCCTCCTCCTTCCTCCTCCCGTTGCTGGGGGGGCGGCGGCGCGGACATCCGCGCAGGCACTGTCACGCTGGCGTTCCCAGACGACGGTCCTCCATGCTCTTCTGGAGTTCCTGCATGCTGCGCTGCAACTCCAGCATGTGCTTCATCTGTTCATCGCTCTCCTTGCGCGCGCACCCTACTCCTCCCCCTGTTGCTGCTGCTGCTACTTCTCCTCTTGCTCCACTCACTGCTGCTCCTCCTTTTCTTTTGCCCCCAATCCCTTCTCTCATCTTCTCCCCCTATCCTCCAGCTTCCCCAACCCTCTTTCTTATCCGCCAGCGTACCGCTATGGACCGACTCGAGTGTCCTCAAGTCCCTTCGAGCTCCCAATCCTCAATATTGAGTGGTGTGAATGCTTGCTTAGGGGCCCGACCCCCGAGATGCAAGCGCTCTCGGGCGCTCCTGCGCGTTACTGGGCCGGATCGCATGGACGAGGCAAAAACGAGTGCGTCTGTTCAGAACTTTCGGCCCGGCAGGGGGGGAGCCCGAACAGGCTCCCCGGAGGGCACGTTGGCGAGGTGCGCCGAAAACCATTAGATAAACCCGACGTGTCGGTCGGGCCGGCTGGGCGTTTTACGAGGGATGAAAAACGACCCTACCCTGGGTTACAAGTGCGTGGTCTGTAAACCTCCTGGGAACCCCCAAAGCCTAGAGCCGCCAGGACGCGGCACATCACGCAGGGTTTACCCTGTCAGCGCACAGGAGTTTCAGCGCACAGCGCCTCGTAAACCAGGGTAGGGGCGTTTTTTCTGCCCTTGAACCTGAGACTTCCTCACGGATTCCCTCCAGGAGCTTGAGCTCAGGGTCTCTTGCCGACCATCGTGAAGTAGTTGGACGGGTATGCCGAAGTTTCGCCTGGTGGCGGCCGTGTGCGCCTCGTGGGCGCCCCGTGAACTGGGCGGGTGTGTGCAGTTGCCGCCTGGTGGGCGGCCACCAACTGTTGCTCCTCCTCCCTCCTCCCTCCAACCTCCTCGCTCCTCCCCCTCCTCCTGTTCTGTTCTGTTCTGGTGATATGAAAGCCCCGTCAATGGGGATCACCGCTGGAAGACATCTCAAACATTCGGGAGACACGCCTGGCGATTCGCCGGCGCAGGCCCGACCGCGCAATTCTTATTCGGACACGGCCGACAAAGAAACGCGGGGCGAACAAGGAAACGAAAAGCGAGAGAGCGAGGAGCCGAGGAGGGGAGGGGAGAGCAAGGGGAGGACGACGGACAGACCGGGCCGACAGACGGGGGGACGGGGGACGGAGAAAGAACACCAAGCAGGGGGAGGGAGGGACGGCGAGGCAATGACAACTGACGAGAACTACGTTGCTGCGAAAACGCTCTCTGCCTGCTTCCAACGGTCTCGGTCTTGGTCCCGCTGCATCCAGCCAGCTGCAATACGGATTGGATCCTCAGATTCGACTTCGCCGTAAAAAGATGCCAACTGGGATTCCCATCGCCCCCTCCTCCTCCCTCTCCTCCTCCCTCTCCTCCTCCTCCTCCTCCTCCGATTCCTCCTCCATTCTCTCCCTCTTAGGGTATGACGTCTTACCCAGCCCTGTTGTTCCACTGCATGCTCCTCCACATCCCTGATCAGGGCAACTCGCCTGAGCATCGTTTCTGGTTGGGCTGGGTGGGTCACGCGAAGCGTCTAGAATTGAAAGGCAATGGTATGTTCGGGAAGGGCTGACAGCTCGCCTATCCTCGAGCATGTGCTCTGAGCACTCGCAACCCTTGGGGGAGGAGGAATATGGAGGGATGTAGTAAGACGAAGAGGAAGACAGCGAGGATAATGAGGAGGAGGAGGAGGAAGAGGTAAAAGTCAATGACTAACCAGGTGGATGAGGGATCCGGGGAGGGGCAGCTCAAGGGGGCAAACGTCGAGAGTTGGCATCACAGCCGATATATCGGTGACGTGCCCCCGTTAGCAGATCCGCACGTCCCTGGGCGGGGTGGGGCTAATTTTATAGGGCCCCACTCGTTGATTAGTGGGCGACGGGTGCTGGCCGCGTCCCCACCTTAGCCCTCTCAACTACAGTAGGAGCTCGACCACAAGAAGCCTCCCACAAGAAACCCAACCCTGAGACCCCATGACATCCACCCATTTTTGGTGTGGGAACGTCACGCCTTCCATTGCAAAACCATCGAAACCCAGGGCACCCTGGAGGCGAGCAGGATGTTTCTTGGCATGGGTCTCCACTGCAACCTTGCCTCTGAGATGGGGAGGAGGGGGAGGAGGAGGAGGAGGATGAGGAGGATGAGGAGGAGGAGGAAGAGAAGGGGGAGGAGGAGGAGGAGGAGGAGGAGGAGGAGGAGGAGGAGGAGGAGGAGGAGGAGGAGGAGGACGAGGAGGACGAGGACGATGACCAGGAGGGAGGGGGAGGATGAGGAGGAGGAGGCGTGCCCCTCTCCTTGTGCACAGCATCCAGGCTGCTCTCCAGCGCAGCCAGCTCCAGTCTGCGGTCCGTCTCGCCCTCGGACTTCACCTTCGCGCCGCCGTCCACCTTCACCCTCGCGTCCTCGGGAAGGTCGGCGGCGAGCGAGGGCGGGAAGTGAGAAGGAGAAGGCCCTCTCAAGAGGCGGCGGGACTTCTCAGATGCCCTCGCGCCTTCTGAGAGAAATTTTCGGGGTCTTCTCGGGGAAGGGTTGGAACACTTCTCAGAAGGCCGGGGGACTTCCGAGCCTTCTGAGAAGGCCCGCCCCTTCTCACTCCCCCCTCCCTCTGAGGGGCAACGATCGGGGGGGACTGGCAAAGGGGGGGATGCATCGACCTGGACTCGGCGATACATCGCCGATAGATCGGCGATAGGCCCCCGATAGTGAATCTGAACCTTCCTGGGCAGGTTGGTGCTATCGGGCCCCTATCGCAGATCTATGGGCAATTAGAGGTCGATGCACCCCCCCGTATGCCTATCCCTCTATAATTTTCTCTTATGGGGCAGGCTCGCAGGGGTGCCGGGGACTGGGGCGGGAGCAAGGGCCTTGATGGAAGAAAAGCGAGGGCACGTCTCAGACTGGGGAGGAGGAGGAGGAGGAGGAGGAGGAGGAGGAGGAGGAGG